GAAATAAAATTAGATTAGTTGAGATGAGATGTGGTGAGACAAAATCAGATCAGATCAGATGATAAGTGAGATGAGAATAGATTATTTGAGTTTAGATGAGATGGGATGAGATTAGATTAGATGTAATTAGATTCGATGAAAAGAGCTGTGATAAGAAGATGTAAGATATGATAAAATGCACTAAAATAAGATACGATGAGATGAGATTAGATGAGTTGAGATGAAATGTGAGGAGATGAGATTAGATGAAATATTAAGAGATGTGATGAGATGTGAGATAAAATGAAATGAGTTTTGATGAGATCATATAAGATGAATTGAGATGCGATAAGTAAAGATGATATTATATGAAATTAGATGAAATGAGTTGAGAGGAGGTGAAATGAGAGGAGATGAGATAAAATGTTATATAATGAAATATGATGAGTATAAGCTGAGTTTATATGAGATGAAATAAGTTGAGAGGAGATCAGTTGAGATAAGTTTTGTAGACTATGCCTAAGATTAAATGAATTGAGATGCTAAGAGATAAAAGAGATTGGATGAGACTAGAATAGATGAGATGTCGAGATGAGGTTATATAAAGTGATATAAGATGAGTCAAGACTAGATGTTATGAAATAAGATGAGTTGAGCTGAGAGGAGATAATTTGACAATAATTGATATAAGATGAGGTGAGAAAGGAAGATATGAGATTAATTGAAATGAGATGAAATGATATGTGAAGAGATTAGCTGATATGAGATGAGATGAAATGTGATGGGATTTGACAAGATAAAATGAGCTCACAGTTTAGTGAAATTATTTGATCTTTAGGTTTCCACCTTTGCCGTATTGCAATGAATAATTATAAAAAGACTTCTTGTCCAAAGCCTATATTTTGCATGATATTATCCAGAATCATGCCATGGACCTGGTCATTCCCAGACATTTATTCAACATTTCTGTCAGCATTGTCATTAATTTTTCTTATTCTTCCCACCACACCACAATTTGCCAAAGAGGCAATTGAGGCCGAACCTTTGACCACCTCTCAGCTAAACAGTTATGGCATCTCTCCTTCCGTTCTGGTGTATTCACTTATCCTTTCTCCTCGTGTCACCCCTTCACTTCACAATTTGTTACTTGCTTCTCTAATTTTAGTTGAGGTGTGCCCTTTTGCTCGTATTCAGTTAGGCCTAATCACACTCCCCGTTGGTTCATACATACCCTCCAATGTGCTTGGAGGGAGGATCCAAGACATCAGTCTTCCCGATCATCCTCTTCCGCCAGGTCCTGTCAAAAGGGTACGCCTCTACGAGATTAAGATAAACAAGCTAAAAATTGTGATAATGAAGATGTGCTGCGGAGCTATGGGATAGGCGAAAACACCAAAACAGAAGGGGATATATATATGATAAAAGTTTAGCAGACCATTGGTTATAGGAATGACTTCACTTATCTCTTTGATTAGTCGTGGCGTTATGTGCTGAGATTGACAAGGCTCACTGACGATGTCGGCACAACTTCTGAGGATGTATCAATTCACGGTAGGACTCTGAATATCATCGGACTTCGGAAAATGTGGGTTTATCTAGGTCTTCCTGCCAATACGGCCAATCAGCAAAAGAAATGTCAAGCAACTTTTATTTAATGAAAGGAGACCGAGACTATACTAAAGGCCACATCATCTGGCTCTTCATATCGGGACGTTTTGCTATATAATAAGTTTAGATGAGATGACGTATTGTACTTGTGTCTGCCACTATATTTCTTCTTACCAGCTGCAACACTCAATCTTGTACACACAATTCTTTTAATTTCTCTGCACTAAATCTCCTCTTGAGTCTTTATGAGTCAACTTTGCGGTTTTAAACCAACCCTCTCTATTCCACATTGACACGAAGTCTCATCATCCTTGAACTTCTTATATACTATCCGTAAGGCCTATTTATATCAATATACGGAATATTCAACTAGCACTATCTCCATTAAAATTCATAAGCATACTGATAATGAACTTAAATTAACTCCAATAAAAGCTTAGTTATCATTGATTGTTAAAATAGACTCACAGACTGAGAGTTGAGTTTGTCAACATGGTGATACCAATGGATTTCACTTATTATCCCAGCTGCAATTCAGTTTAAACCCTGGTAGAAGTTGATATAGATTCGAGATTATCGTGGCGATGTTATTCATCCACTCTACACCATTGCTTCTAGTGCCGGTGGGTCACAAGAAACATGCCAGACTCAGGCATGCTAGACTAACAAACCAACTAACCAAGTGTGTGTTAGCCAGTTCAATGGACTATTTTACTCGATTTCATTATGACTGGATATCGATATTATCAGCAATTCTCAAAGGAGAAGTTATTTAACCTACAACTTATCGAAACCTGTTGAGTGAACTGTTGATACCTAATCAATTCGAAACTTTACTCCAGTCCATCCTGGATAAAAATAGCTTTCCAATCGGAATACTGAAACTGTCAGTCGACGACTGAAAGATATGAAACTCACCGGAATACAGTTCGTCTAGCCTGGCACCGTTTTCCAGAAGGCAGGAGACTGAGTCAGCCGTGCTGTACTCCATCGCTTGCAACAAAAGCGGTCGTGGTATGAAGCGAGCCCTCAAGCCGTCAGATGAAATTTCGACGAAATGGTATCGTGTAGAGGCAGCCACCTTCGATGCAGCATCACCCAGCGCTGTGAAAGACAAGAAAGGACACAGAGCTGTGAAGTAAGAAGGCCGTGGTTGTGCCTAAAGGCGTTTGTTTCACCAAGAGAGATGAGCTCTATTGGAGGCACATAGTTACTTAAACCAAGGCGGATTTCACGATTAGATTAGGCTCCATTATATCAGTCTAACAA